CGACACATGTCAAGATAATGTGTTATTGATCCCGTGACCATGTTTGCAGCGTGAAAAAGCATTGCTGTTTTTACGCATTGGAAACAAAATTATTAATGTTTTCACTGTAAGCCTGTCAGGAATTTATTCCCGTCTCGTATCCTCGAGCTCTACTAGGTCATTACCACTGCAACATCATGACGAGCGATTTCTTCCTCATGTTTGGCGTACGCAGTGTGTCCATGACGTTCGGTTCTCTCACCTTACCGTCGTCGGTGACTATCTGATGCTTCTGAAATTCCCAGACCCGTATCTTGACATGTAGTCATATCGCAACAGGAATATTCCTCGAGATCGCAGGTGACGTTACGAATAATTATGCCTCCTAAACTAACGTTTAATCATGCGGTTGCTACACTAATCTTTACCTTTTCATTAAGAATCAGTTGTACATTCTCGGGGTATGGCCTCCGGTTGATTGCTGCCATTTTCCTCAGTGCCACTTCGCATTCTTCGTGCTTGCCTTCTGCGTACAGCCATCGTGGGGATTCGTCTAGAAGACTTTAAACAAGGAAAGCACGGGACTATTCAGAATTAATTTTGATCACAAAAGAGTCTCGATTAAATTGAAAAACCGCAAATGTTATCATGTGACCGGGTAACCGCAACGCGAGTAAAGACGATTCGTCTCTTGTCCGATACGTGCTAGTCATGATAGTGTTTATAATTTTACTCAGATGGTGGGAGTTATAGTTAAGTAGGATGCATTAACATAGAAATGTGAGAATGTAACATTCGTAACTGAACATGTGGAATCTTCCATACACTTCTTTACACACATTTAACTTACAAGTAGTAACCCAGCAGAATGAACATCCAAACTGATATCCCAAACTGTAGATGGCGCCACGAGGGGATGAGCCACGCGAACAGGGCTAACAACAGCCATCCCATCGAGTAGAATATGCTGACGCCGTTAGAGCATCGATTGCGATAAGCACCCCCAATGTTCTCCATTACTGCAACCAGAATTGACAAAGGCAATTGACCACGAGGACTAGACCAAGGCCTACATTTAGCTACATCATAGTCGTGGCCTCCTGTTCTAATATATCTAACCGCTATTCGAATAAGTAAACACGACATGCGGCAAAAGTGTAGATGAATCGTTATAGATATAGAGTGTAACGTTGAGCGATCGCGCTTCAAGCTATGGCTATTTACATAACTACACTGTCTGACGCCCCAGCTACGTCGGACAGCGGTTTAACACTAATTGCACATCGAAATGAGTTTTTCCACGTCTAGTTTTATTTCTGCCGAAGCGTTACCCGTAACGAGATGACGTCACACGGTTGCGGCGCGTCTGCTGCGTGACCCGGCACCCAATTATCGACATAGCGCCGAGGTATATCACGACAGATATTGGCTATATTGGCGACTCACGATAGACGAAGCCACTGTTACAGGACCCAGCCGCGGCCGCTCCTGTCAGGAACCGCAGCACGGCGTAGACGGGATAGTTCGGAGAGAAAGCGCTAGCCGTGGAGACCGTCGCTTGCATCAGTATCGTAAACAAGAAGGTTTTCTTCCGGCCTTTCCTGTAAATAACATTGTAGCCGTTGCTTTGCATATAACCTTAAACATTGCCTGACCGAATGTGTCAATCGGGATCACGCGCGCTATCACCTATTATTTATATATATCACCTACTTGTGCGCGATGCAGACTAGGATAACTACCGCAGTGTGTACTGACTTCTCAAAAGATTAGATAGCGATTAGAAACCTCGTACGACTTTCTGCGCAATTGTGACGTTATTGGCGAGCGGTGTCATAGAACACGTACTTGTCTGAAATCTCTCCGAAAACGATGCATCCGATCAGAAAACCCAACATGTAGAGACTTTGACCGGCAGCAGACGCCAACCAGCTTTTGCCGCAGACCAGGTCCCACTGCAAAGTATTAGCATACTAGCCTGTGCCTCTGACCGTACTCGTGACATAGAACAAACAAGCCTGACAGTTGTATCAGCAAAGCAACTAACAGATAACCACACCAGGCATGAAAACATGTTGATACTGAAATTAGCAGAAATTACATATTTATACCAATTATACCATACAGATATATGTAAAAAAGATACAGAATATACCATATCGATACCAATAAAACATTTTAATCTTCAACGTTCGACCACGAAAGGCACTATATACATGGCCTCTATGAGCATTTGGACGCCATTTACAGGAAATTGTCGGCAATAATAGGTGAAAGAGAGTATGAGAAACATTAAAACTTTGGTAGTAAATTACTAAATAGATTTCGTATTTATTTAGCATTAAATTTTATTGAAACGCTCCAAGTGTCTGTGGCCACGACGACCGACCGACCGACTAAACCTCCAGTTTGTTTACCACGGCTGCATCGCTCGCTCGCAATTTTACAAAAAGAACAGAAATTCATCCCCGCAAAACGACGACGACGGACGACGACGACGACACCGGAAGTCGTCCGCCGTCGCTCGCCGGAAGTACGGTCCGTCACGTGACGCTCGCGTCGTCGCTCGGCGGCGCAGACGACGACTGCGCGCAAGTTTTTAAAGCGCCGCGTTTCGATTTAAAATTTTGCAATGGCTGTCTGTAGTCTAGACATCTGAACTTTGACAGCTCGGTAGGAAAGAGTTGAAGGTCCGTGCCCATTCTGTCGCGCGGGGGTGCGCGGGCAGGCCGCTCACCGCGCGTGGGTATGGGATGGGGAAGAGAAGGGAGAAGGGGAGGATGGAGGAGGGAGGCGTGCACACTGCACACACAGCGACACACGATACCCTCATGTTTATTATTACTTTTATGGCGAAGGCGATTAAATCGGAGCAAAAACGCGCCCGTAAATAATACGTAACCCGCACAACGTTAAACGGACGGACGACGGCACATCTCGAAGACGACGAATATCATCAGAAAATGCCGCATATACACCCACGGCCCGCCCCACGGCGCCACATCACAGCTCTCACACACACACACACACACACATCGCACCCACCATAGCGTTGTCACTGTGTCATCCCGCACGCAAGTACCCACTGTATTAACTAACGCTCGCTATATTTATATGAGGGGTCGTGAGAGAGAGTGGAAGAAGAAGGAGGGGGGGAGCATAACTCGTCTGCTGTGCCACTATTTTAAACATCTGATAGCGATCATACGGATAGCAACAGCGGCGTAGCACACGTTCCCCCGAATAATGGCCATTATCCCATTACCGACAGGGCCATAGGTATAAATATATA